GGGAACGTTGAGCTTGGGAACTGAGTCAGACAACACTGTCTTTTTCTTATTCCCAAACAGATAGCTGTTATTTCACAGCCCATGTCATAGCCTCATCAAGAAGCCAGGTTCCTGCAACAATAGAAGGCCACATACCTTCCTAGTGTGCTCCCTCACAAATTGCTCACAAGGACATTTTTTGTGAGCCCTTAAATCTTTTAGATACATATCCCCCCTGCAAACAGGGCCTAAATCTGAGTTCTGTGGTTCTCACTCTGACAATGTCACTTGCCAGCCTATTTTCACAGGTAGAGGACAAGGACAACACCAGAAATCATCCTCATCCCACCCTGAGATGAATGCAACATTGACGTGTCCCACTGCCCCTTTTTACATGTTTACTTTATCTTATGTAAGATGTAGATTTGCCAAGAGAGACCTTTTCCTTTACTCCCTCTTTTCATGTGTAAAATGTAGATTTACTGAGCACTAATCAGAGCTTCACAAGAACATGACCATCTGCCTCACTGTCCACCCTTCCTCGCTTTCCCCTTCCTGCTTGCTCTTTCCCTGTAAATGCTGAAGTTCCCAAAACTTTATTTGGAAAAAGTGCAAGTCACAGAGTCTCCTGAGACTTATGTTTTCCTGAGCAGGTCCTCAAATTTTGGCTAAAATCCTCTCTCAATGGAAACACTTGCTTAGTCACTTTTTGGTTAACAAGACTGATATGGACAGGAGGCAGGGAAACACTGGGGAGAATAGGGCAGTTCCCTGGCAAAAGCCTCACCCTGACGCCTGAAAACCCATGGCCCTAAATGGGAACAGACATTTCTGTTTTTGTGCCCTAATGTTGCCTTTTGGCCTGCCACACCCTACTATCCTGTACCCATATAAATCCCAAACCTCAGGCTCTGTGAGCAGAAGAGCACAGAGTGGCAGAGTGGTGCAGCAAAGAAGGGGAGAAGAGAATGAGCATCTGAACATCAAAAGGAGTTTGACTGGGGACAGTCAGAGAGGAGATTGGCTGTGGGATGGCTGAACTCCAGGGGAAGATCATCTTCCCACTCCATCCCCTTTCCAGCTCCCCATTCATCCTGCTAAGAGCCACCTCCATCACTCAATAAAATCCCCACATACACCATTCTTCAAGTCCATGTGACCTGATTCTTCCTGGACACTAGACAAAGACCCAGGTACCAAGAGGGTAGGGTGAAAAGCCTGTCACCCTGACCTTCCACTGAGCTAGTTTAACATTTAGCCATCTGTGGAAGGCAACTGGTAAAACAGCATTAATTGTAGCATAGCCCTATATGCTACCATGGGGCCGGAGCCCAAAAAGGTTTGCCCCAACTCCTGCACCTGCCCATCTGCATGCTCCCCATCCCATAAGGGGTTTCAGCTTGCAGTGGCCAAGCAAATGAGCTGCACACCCCTGTCACAAGTTCTGCAAGGGGGTCAGGGAACTCTCCTGTTTCAAGACCAGTCAGGGGACAGCACAGACAGTTGTGTAAGAACAGCAGGACTGAGCCCTATGGGAGTGAAGGAAAAGAGAGTAAGGGCCAGGTCTGGGAGGACTGGGACAGTGACAGCAGTGGGCTTATGAGGTAAAGGAGGGTTAAGAAGAAAGGGGAAGGGGTGGCCCCATGACTCAGTCCATTGGCTACAACACAGCACCACAGACTCGGGGCCTACAAATAACAGAAATTTACTCCTCACAGTTCTGGAAATTGGAAGTGTAAAGTCAGGGTGTCAGCCAGCTTGGGCCCTGGTGAAGACCTTCTTCTGGATTGCAGATGTCTTCTTCTTGTGTCCCCACATGCTGGAAAGAGAGCTTGCTGAAGTTCTTTTTATTTATTGGGTCACTAATCCCATCATGAGGGCCCCACCCACGAGACATAATTATTTCCCAGAGGTCCTGCCTCCTTATGCCATCACACTGGGGGTTAGGACTTCAACATGTGAATTTCAAGGAGATGCAAACATTCAGTCTGTAGCACCCAGCCACAGTGACAACACATGACATACACAGGGGTAGAACGCAAAGGGAATTCCAACTTGCTGCACCTTCCAATTAGAAACACACATTCTGTCCCTGCAGAAACTCTGCTGTCACAGCCCATTTAGGGGCTAACAGGACTCACACAGGCTTTCTGAAATTAACTTACAGTTTCTGCAAAGCCATGTTAGATCATTTGTTTCAGGCCCCACTTGATGACAGAAAGGCCGCTGGAAAAGTCGAGATTTCTACACCTCCACCTTGTCTTGCCTACTCACTGCCCGAATTGGGAGGTCAGGGTGCAATTTTTGGCAGGGGAGGGATAGGAACATGATTTTGCAGTGTCTTTCAAAATCACATAACCAGAAAACAGAAACACAAACTACCATGATTCAACTCAGAAAGTACAAAAGGGCTTTCAGCTCAACAGCTGGTGGAGAGCTTCTCTCTGCAGGGTCTCAGAAGAGAGACAATAGACCTGTGATTTTGCTGCAGCTGTAAACTCTTTCCCAGCTATGCAATGAGTCAGTGGTTTTGTATTCATAATCATCATCCTTTAAGATGCAACAGGTTAACACAAAAAGGCATTTAATGTTACTTGAAAGCTGTTTGCTAACATTTTTCATTCCCCCAAACTAAATGAAATTCACATTAGAGAACTGAATTCATTTGCCAACAGGAGGTCTTATCCAAAACTAAACTATATGTAATAACAACAACAAAAATTTGGACAATTTGTGTGGAGAAAGAACTAAAACTTAGCTTCAAGTTCTGGGCTTTGCTAGTAATCCACCCTGAGAGGTCAAGGGAGTTCCTCATGGCTCCTTGATTTAGTTTCTCTTCTGCAAAATGAGGAGTTTGAAAGGGGTGGCTTTATAGTTATCTGTTAGCAACACCCAATTTTTCCCCAGAACTTTAATATTAAAAAGCAGATGTAAATATAAAACATATGTTCATATATCTAAACAACCTCAAATGCATATTTGATTATAGAATAATGAAACAAGGCTGCTTGTGTATCTTATTTTAGTTGCCATATATCACAAAATATCCTGATTGATCCAAAAGGGTATTTGCAAAGTCTTTCTTCCTCTTTCTCTCTCTCTCTCCCTCTCTCCCTCTCCCTCTGTTTCTTTCTTTGTCTCTCTCTCTTTATTTTTTCAGTGACTACCTTGCCAACTAAGGGCACTCATTAACTAGAGCAGAATAGGTTTGAATCTGAGGCCATCAAAGCCAAAATGAATTAAAAAAAAAAAAAAAAACTAGCTAATCAGGCAGCATACAGTAATGCATTTGGGTGTGTCAGTAAATTTGAATATGCATTTTAATAGCACTTTTTATCACAGGCTAAAATATATTTTTTAATGAAGTTGGAATAAAACATTTGAACAGCCATCCAAGCCCCTGTTTGGAGCCCTAGGGTTCACAGAACACTCGCTGAAATCCACTGGGCTGCATGTTCTCTAAGGCAAGGGTCTCCAGCCCCTGGGCCATGGACCAGTACTGGTCCCTTGCCTACTAGGAATCAGCAGCACAGCAGGAGGTGAACGGTGGGCAGGTGACCTTGCTGCCTGAGCTCTGCCTCCTGTCAGATCAGCGGCAGCATCAGATTCTCAAAGAAGCACAAACTCTATTGTGACCTGCGCATGTGAGGGATCTAGGTTGCGCCCTCCTTATGAGAATCTAATGCCTGATAATCTGTCACTGTCTCCCATCACCCCCAGATAGGAGCATCTAGTTGCATGAAAAACCAAGCTCAGCTCCCACTGATTCTAAATGTAATGTGCTTGAATCAGCCTGAAACCATTCCTCCTCCACAACCTCAACTCCTTCTGAGGAAAAATTGTCTTCCACAAAACTAGTCCCTAGTGTTAAAAAGGTTGGGGACTGCTGCTCTAAGGTGTCTTGTGGTCTGACTGTCTGTGATCACTGCCTCTCCCTGCAACCTCTCCCACACCCCCACCCCCTCATTCACTCTACAAATATTTATTGAGTTCTCCTGTGAATCAGGCACAGTTTAGGCCCTTGAGACACTTCAGTGAAGCTACCCAAATATGTACACAAGCCCTGCACAGGAAATTTACACTTGCACTTGCAGCTGTTTCGCTTACAGCTTTGAAGACAATTTTAGTTGATACTGTATCAAATACAGCCCAGTTCTTTTCTGAGTGACTGAGTTTTCCACTCAGTTACCAGTTCCTGGACATTAGCAGAAGATGGCAGACAATTCATCAACCGCTGACAGGCAGCTGCTGAAGACAAGAGGTCTGTTTGTACACTTTTGTCTCTCACTTGCCGGCTAAACTGAAAGAACAGCTAAGCAAGCCAGGTTCCCTAGCCACGCAAGGTTTCCACCAGATCCAAACTCTTGTTTGAGTTTTGGGAAGGCTTATGGGTTCAATTAAGCCATTAACATTTGGTCCGTTTTGTATCTGTATTTTGTATTTCTTCAAGACGCTTTAAATAAGGTTGTAGATTTTTAGAAAATATGGTTCCTTATCCAGAAAAACTCAGCGTCCTTCCAAAATGCTCTCAAAGCCTGACCAACTGGCTAGTAGCCTTTATAAACCTGGAGAATAATGAACGGATTGTTGGAGAAGCCTATTTTACTAAAAATCTGTTTCCCTTTAGAAGCAACCTCAGAAGCCCCATCCAGCTAGTGGTGGGATATTTAATTCCTCCAAATTCTTCCAGAATGTCACTGGGGATTCAGATCATGTCACCTGGGTTCTGTGAAGAGACTTCTCTAACAAGAGGGTTATCTCCCAAAAACAGTACTCAGAATAAAAAGCCCGAGAGTCTGTGCCCAGTAGGTGGCGCTGCTCTTCCTTCCGTTGAGATTCGATTCTGTTGAGGCCTGCTGGGAACAAAGTCACCTGTTGGAAAGGGTATGCAGTAGGTTGGGGTAGGCACGCCTACGGGAGGGAGAAAGACAAACAATTTTATCCGCTCTCCTGACAACGCAGAAGAGAATCAAAGCAGGCAAAGCAAACCACCCCAAAATTGACAGACCATTTGGCTTACATCTTTGAAGTAGAAAAGCATACTGTACTGCATTTAATTTAATCAATAATGATAGCATGTTTAGAACTATGTAATCAATTGTTTGCTATTTTCCTGAAGTCTCCAGTGAGAGGGACTTCCAAGAGTACAGATGTTCCTTGACTTCTGGGGCTACGTCCAGATCAACCCATCGTAAGCTGAAATTATCATAAGCAGAAAATACATTTAATACACCTAACCTACTGAACAGCATAGCTTAGTCTAGCCTACCTTAAACATGCTAAGAACTCTTGCGTTAGCCTACAGTTGGGTGAAATCATGTAACACAAGCCTATTTTATCACGAAGTGTTGACTATCTCATGTAATTTATTGAATACAGTACCCTGTGGAGCACAGTATCAGTTGTGTGTGCTCATGACTCTGTTGCTGACTGGAGCTGCTACTCACTAACCCTGCCTGGCAATATGAGAGAGATCGTACTATATCGCCAGCCCAGGAAATGGTCAAAGTTCAAATTTTGAAGTACGATTTCTACTGAACACATATTGTTTCTGCATCATTGTAAATCTTAGGTTGAACCATGGTAAGCTGGGGACCTTCTGTATGTGTCTTTGACCTCATCCCCCAGAGGCACCCAAATCCCAGGAATGGCCTTTCAAGGGTGGCTTAAATAAGAAGTAAAGGGATAAACTAGGGTAGTTACCCAGACCAGAGGAGCACTTTGAAAGCAGTAATATTTAAGACTCGAACCCCTCTACAAGAGTCGTCATGGGGTTGCAGAAAATCATGTGGACATTTGCACTGAGAACTCACTCTTTCCCAAGGCAACTCCTCCCATATTCGAGAAAATCCAATGGACCCTGCACCTTTCTAGTTCTACCATTTGAGAACTTGTGGAACAAGCCTGACTCGGCTTCTCAGTGACGAGTCCTTCAAATATTTGCCCACAGCTCTCATGTTTCCCTCTGAGTCTTTTTTCCACCAAAATAAACACCACGGTTGTTTCAACATTTCCATAGTGTACCCGCACAGTTCTATTAATATTTCAGTTGCAAGTTACAGAAACAGGCTCTGGTGAGCTTTACCTGAGATGTCTCATAGAATCAAGAGACGAATTAAACATCTCCAACCTGAGAACAAAGTTGCTAGGATTCTAAGCAGGAGTCAGCGTCCTCTTAACTGCAGTCCTGCCATGCACATAACTCATTGGTGACTTTCATGTCAATTTCAACTGCCCGTGGAGATTCCGAAGACCTACCTGGGATTCCCCAACCCTGGGCAGGGGCCTGCATCACCTAACATAGACATGGCTACTGAGTCCCAATGCAGAAAAGCGAGAACACACAGGTTATTTCTTGTTATTCTGATCTCTCCTCTGAACATGGGCTATTTGTTAGTGTTTCCTTTACTGTGCGGGGCCAAGTGCTGGGGGCGAGTCTAACCACACAGAGCAGAGCAGGACCATCATCCTCCTGTTCTAGACTCTATACTTTTATTATTATGGCCAAAGATAGCTTTTTTTTTTTATTATTATTCACATGACTCCTCTTGCTTGTTGTTAGGTCACCTCTCTTTCACCTTGTACTTCACTCATTCGGTCTGGTGACTCTAAATGCCAAATCATATCCCTGAGATTTTGCATTTGTAACATCTGAGATGCTGTTCCAGCCTGCCAAAAGCTTTCAGATCTTCGTTTTATCACCCACTATAGGATAAGCGTATGTCAATACTACTTTTCTCTCTTAATTTAGCAGAGTTTCATTGTATTTTGTTTTGTAAGAAACTGAGTTTGGCAGGAGAGTCACTGAGCTATGCAGAGAAGTCATAGAAAATGTATAAGGGATCTAGTCATTCCACTTCTAGGAATTTATCATCAGAAATGATCAGGGACATAAACACTGTTTTGAATGCTTAGAATTTGTCTCATTGTTTATAATAGCAAAAAAAATGAAACCCATTTACTACTAAACAGTAAGGGAATCCTTACATAAATTTTGATATAGTCATTCAGTAAAAGATATTGCTACCAATAAAAATGTTGTTTACACATACATCCTCAAGATATGAGAAAATATTATAAAATACATATGTGATTTATTTAAGTTTAGAAGAAACTAAAATGCTCTAAATAATATTTTGATTTTTGTCTTTTTATTTTTAATTTTTTATTTGCCCCACCTTTTTAGAAAGTAATGCCTTTTTATTTTTAATAAAAAAATAAACTGAAGCAAATATACCAAAATGTTAGCTGTGGCTTATCTCTGAATGATGGAGTTTTGGTGATATCATTGTCATCTTTATAATTTTCTCTATTTTTTTTTAACTTTATAATGAGTATTTCTTCTCTTATAGAAAATCTTTTTAAAATAAAACTTTTTTTCTCAGCCAGACACGATAGCTCACACCTGTAATCCCAGCACTTTGGGAGGCTGAGGCAGGCAGATCACGAGGTAAAAAGCTCGAGACCAGCCTGAACACCATGGCGAAACCCCATCTCTACTAAAAATACAAAAATTAGCCAGGCATGGTGGTGCATGCCTGTAATCCCAGCTGCCCAAGAGGCTGAGGGAGGAGAATCGCTTGAACTTGGGAGGCAGAGGTTGCAGTGAGCCCAGATGGTGCCGTTGCACTCCAGCCTGGGTGACTGAGGCTCTGTCTCAAAAAAAGAAAAGAAAAGAAAGAAAAGAAAAGAAAAGAAAAGAAAAGAAAAGAAAAGAAAAGAAAAGAAAAGAAAAGAAAAGAAAGGAAGGAAGGAAGAGAAAGAAAGAGAGAGAGAGAGAGAAAAGGAAAAGAAAAGAGAAAGAAGGAAGGAAAAAGAAAGCTTTTTTCATGATCAATCACAGATCTTGACTATGGATAAATTCTTTGCCTTTTTATGGGGCTTTTTAATTTTTTTAAGCTGTGATAAAATCCAGAGATTCCTCGGCTTCCCCTATTCATGTGTCTTGATAGTAGCACTTCCCATCCTGCATTACTAGACCTTCCTGTTGAGCCAGTCCTCCGCCTTGGAACTGACAGCCCTGAAGCTCAATGTCTCCACCCTCCTGTCCATCAACAGCTCCTCACAGTCTTGGTCATTGCTGTTCTCTACCTCGGGCTCAGCCTTGCCCATGTTCCGAGTTTATCAGGTGAGCAACAGAAAGAACAGCAGCATGTCAGCCTCAGACCTAGTATGACCTGATATCATGTCACAGGCCAATCTCTCAGGTACTGTGTTCTGGGAAGAACCCTGGATGTCATGGACATTTCAAGTAAAAGGATTTCTTCGGTTGGCAACCACAGAACTGAGCTTTTGCCTCAATTTCCCTACCATCATCACCTTCCTTCCGTATTAAAATTAGCCCTTGGGGCCCCAGCCTATTTGCCTGTTGTCCTGTCACCCCACTCAGGTCTTGCTAGTGATACCTTTATGCCCTCACCTTTCACACCCTACCTGGGCTCCTCATGATCCCCTAGAGCCAACAGTGCCTGCCACCTGGGGGTTCTCCTCATCTGTGCTCCTTGCCAGGCTGGGTGTCTGGTTGCCCTCCCTTTCCCAGCCTTTATTTTTCTCATGTGAGTCTCCTCCTCCTTTGCTGACTGCCTGTGTCATCGAGGCCTCAGGATGCCTCATGCCCCAGCCAAGGCACCCTGTGACATTGTGCATGTCAAACATGGTGGCCACATCTGGTACTGAGAAAACCGGAGGAGTGGGGAGAAGTACTGGGGGAGGGGATTATCTTTAACATGTATTTTTTCAGACCAGGTGCGGGGGCTTACACCTGTAATCCCAGCACTTTGGGAGGCCAAGGCAGGTAGATCACTTGAGGTTAGAAGTTCAAGACCAGCCTGTCCAACATGATGAAACCCTGTCTCTATTAAGAATACAAAAATTTGCTGGGCGTGGTGGCTGAGGCAGGAGAATCACTTGAACCCAGGAGGCGGAGGTACAGTGAGCCGAGATCACACCATTGCACTCCAGCCTGGGCAACAAGAGTGAAACTCTGTCTCAAAATAAATAAATAAATAAATAAAGTATTTTTATTATAAAAGTAGAAAATAAAAATTATATTTCTTTCACTGACAACCTTCACTACTTTATATTTTAGATTTTCTTCTAGTATTTTTGGTTGCTATGAAATTTTTATAGGCGCTGAAACTACTTAAAGTACCCGGGAATGGTCTTGTCACTCTTCTACTTTTTTCTTCCCCTTTCCTTCTCTCCCTTCTTGCCCATCCCTTTTTTGACTACTGGTTCATAAGGTAAGTTCAGATGAGAGAGTAAGAGGTACAATTAATTAGCATCTAGTTATCCCATCACTAAGTGTGGTTCCTTGGCCATATTGATCTGTTTGGATGCTCAGCCTCCTCACAGGTACCAGGCACCAGCAGGAGTCACCGTCTGTAGCCTAGGGAGCTCCCCATTCGGTGAGACTGAGTGGCTTCCTCCTCCTGACACAGCGAGAGGCAAAGCTGAATTGAAGGGCAGCCATCAAAGCCCATTTCTCTGTGTCCCTGTTGTAAGCACCGGGCTCATGGGATTTGACAACCATCAGCCTGGGGTCTGATTTCAAATGGGGAAAAGTCTCAGCAAGTTAGTGGAGCTGGCGACAAAAGCAGCAGCAAGGACATAGCGGCTGGGGTGGGTTGGCCCCTGCTGGGCTTATGCTGGGCTTTCCGGAGGAGCTCCACAGAGCCTGGGCCGATTTTCCCATAGGAGAGGCCACTTTGGTGTTCTTAGACACAAACTTTGTTTTTACTCTATTTGTCCCTTTCTGGTGGGCCACTGATTAGAGGAGCAGCCAGAAGGCCCACCCACCCAGCAAGAGCAGGGTTTTTCTCTGCGTGTGTGCGTGTGTGTGCGTGTGTGTGTGTGTGTGTGTGTTGTGGGGTGGGGTTTCAATCACACACAGGATAGAAGGGAGCTCCCCAGGGCTCCCCCAAAACTGCACAACCTTCACCATACCAGTCCTCAGCAGCACGGGCTGTTCTATCAGCCCCTCCTAGACCTTCTCCTTAGGTTTCTGAATGACTCCTCATTCATTTTCCCTGAAAAGAAGGAAAAAAGTATCCTCAATTACACTCATATTAGTGTCTGCCCTCTGGGAGCTCAGCTTTTTCTAAGCTGACTGCATGCAGCAGACATGCACAATAGGCTGTTGGTGAGCCAGACGCCGGGGTATGGCAGGGACAGTGGGAGCAGGCAGCCTCCGTCTCATGATGTGGCCCCAGGGAGACTTCAGCGAGTCCTGCAGTGACCTGTTCGTTTATTATCCCACAAACATTTACTCCAGAGCCACTAAGTGCTCAAGAGGGATGTGACACCATCTGCACAGCTTTCTGGTGACTGAACCCAGAGGTTAAGCTTTGAAAATCTGCGGCCTGTGCTGCTAATCTTAGCTCATGTGTCCCAGAAACCACAGTCTGCAGACAGGGCCAGGCAGCGGCGGGTAAATGGGGAACAAATAAAGACGGCGGAGAGCTAGAGACTTTAGTTCTGCAGCAAAATCCTTTCTTGAACTTCAAAATGCCCTCAAACTCTGTTGCTGCCTCACATAAATAAACAACAGAGCTTGTCCAGAGCGCTTACAGGGCCTAAAGTCAGAAACGGTTTGAGCCAGAGGAGATTATTAACATTGATAACTATTTTATCAAAAAGGGCGGAACCTGATGCAGCATCAAAATCATCGCTACCTTAAGATGATTTAAAAATGACTTTATGTAGGAAAGGAGAGAGGTTTCTTCCTATACGTGAAAATTAATGTTCCTTTACAGTCTGTAGTCTCATTTTCAAGACAGACTAGTCAAAGAGAAATTGTGTAAAACCTTGTTTGTTTGTTTGTTTTGGGACAGGGCCTTGCTCTATCACCCAGGCTGGAGTGCAATGGTGTGATCACAGCTCGCTGCAGCCTCGAACTCCTGGGTTAAAGCAATCCTCCTGCCTCAGCCTCTTGAGTAGCTGGGACTATAGACACACACCACTGTGTCTGGCTCTATTTATTTTATTTTATTTTAGACATGGGGTCTTCTTTTCTTTGTTGCCCAGGCTAGTCTCAATCTTTTAGGCTAAAGGAATCTTCCCACCTCTTCTTCCCAAAGTGCTGGGATTACAGGTGTGAGCCACTGCACCCAGCCAAATCTGATTTTAAATTGCAAGTTTTCTGCATCTCCAACCATTAATATTTCCCATAAACACAAATATCTTAATTCTCTCTTTAGAAGGATTATCCCTTTTTCTGACTTGTAATTGTAAGATATTATAATGGCTTTCTTTTTTGAAAGGGTGGTGATGATAAAGAATAGCTACTCTTTTTTTTTTGTGCTTTAAGTTCTGAGATACATACGCAGAACGTGCAGGCTTGTTACATATGTATACACACACCATGGTGGTTTGATGTACCCATCAATCTGTCACCTACATTAGGTGTTTCTCCTAATGCTATCCCTTCCCTAGCCCCTCACCCCAGGACAGCCCCATGGGTGATGTTCCCCTCCCTGTGTCTATGTGTTCTCATTGTTCAGCTCCCACTTATGAGTGAGAACACGCAATGTTTGGTTTTCTGTTCCTGTGTCAGTTTGCTGGGAATGATAGTTTCCAGCTTCATCCATGACCCTGCAAAGGACATGAACTCATCCTTTTTATGACATATAGTATTCCATGGTGTATATGTGCCACATTTTTTTAATACAGTCTATCATTGACGGGATTTAGGTTGGTTCCAAGTATTTGCTATTGTGAATAGTGCATCAATAAACATGCATGTGTATGTGTCTTTATAGTAGAATGATTTATAATTATTTGGGTATATACCCAGTAATGGCATTGCTGAGTCAAATGGTGTTTCTGGTTCTAGATTTGAGGAATCTAGAACCTTGAGGAATCACCACACTGTCTTGCACAATGGTTGAACTAATTTACACTCCCACCAACGGTGTAAAAGTGTCCCTATTTCTCCACATCCTCTCCAGCATCTGTTGTTTCCTGACTTTTCAATGATCGCCATTCTAACCAGCATGAGATTATATTTCACTGTGGTTTTGATTTGCATTTCTCTAATGGCCAGTGATGATGAGCCTTTTTTCATATATTTGTTGTCCGTGGTTGCTCTTTTTAAATCTTCCTATATGGCAAAATAAAAAGTTGACGATCTTATGTTGGCTGCTGCTATGGTTCAAACATTTATGTCTCCCCAAAATTCAGATGTTGAAATCTAATCACCAATATGGCAGTTAAAAGAATTGGGGCCTTTGGGAGGTGATTAAGTCATAAGGATGGATCCCTCACAAAGGGGATTAGTGACCTTATAAAAGAGGTCCAAAGGAGCTTGTTCAGCCCTTCCACAGCATGAGGACACAGTGAAAGATTCATCTCTGAACCAGAGAGCTAGTGTTCACCAGACATGGACCTTGCCGGAACCTTGATCTTGAACTTCTCAGTATCCAGAACCATGAGAACTAAATTTCTATTGTTTACAAGCCACCTAGGTATTTTGTTACAGCAGCCTGAACAGATTAACATTTTTAAAATTTTTTATTCTAATATTTTTTAATGTCACAGCAAATCTGGAAGTGCCTCTTTCTCACACCCTCCTATCCCCCCAAAAATCAAAAATGCTATATATAGACTACATATAGTATTTGCAACCCCAACTGCAGTATCTGATGAAAAACTGCCAAACCCACTGCAAGTCAAACAGGAATGCAGGGAGGAGCTGAGAGAGGTGGTGGGCACCAGAGGGTAGGGAGCCAAGTCTGGCCCCCATGAGAAGTTGAGAAAGTGATGCTAAGAGAGGATTCACTCCGTTCGGATTCACATATGTGCAGAAAGTGGTCTATCTGGGAGACAGGAGGAAACAAGCATTTCCACACTGCATTATGAGTAACCCTGCAGCTGCCATCAATTGGCTGGAGAGAAACAGGCTAAACCATCCACCCACCCAAACAACCCCAGGTGGTGAGAAACTGCACTGTGATCCAGGGAGAATTCCTACTAGCTCTGTGTACCAGTTATCAACTGCTGTGTAACAAAGCATCCCCACAACATAGTGGCTTAAAGCAACTATTTTACAGGCTAAAGACCCCATGGGTAAGCACTTTGGGCTGTGTTCAGTCAGACAGTTCTTTGGGTGGTCTCACCCAGGGTCACTCATGAGGCGGTAGTCCTCTTGTTCTTTGAGGTCTCTGGATGTGACCTCCCTTACGTGTCCTGACTTTTTTTAATGATCGGCATTCTAACGGGCATAAGATTGTATCTCATTGTGGTTTTGATTTTCATTTCAAAATTTGCATTTTATTTGCATTTTCAAAAAGAATGCAGTCTTTGCTCTCTTGTCAGGACCTCTGAAATGTTTTTATTGGGAGCCGGAGGGTGTTTTCAAGATGTGTGGGGGTGGGTGAAAGGGGGTGGGTGAAAGGGGATGGATAGCCACATACCATACTGGAGTTGGAGCTGGAAAAAGACATTTAGCTGGCCTCAGACTTTCTCCATAAAGACCTACAAGGCCCTCCAAGTAACACTTACCTTGG